CTTGTAATTTTTTCAAAGCTGAGCATTATTCATGCCTGTGAGTGATCATTGTTCCACAACATGACACTGACTCTTATTGTCTGCTGTCTGGCCTACCCTTTGTGTCAGCTTGTCATGAGTGTTCTTAATTATGATATCCTTATAAACTGAATAGATTCTGTTGCCCTCCTATGATAAGGTTGTCCTTCTGCTTCCAGCATTTCTGTGATTATTCTTGGTTTCTGCTTCCAGCACAATTTTAAAAAAATTAAAGGACATGTTGAATGTTTATAAACCTTAATTGAAAGTATCTGCACTCTTTTATGTTTTGACAAGCTATAACCTCATTAGCTGTAAATCCTGTTGAATATAATAACTTGTTCAATTTGTGATTTTATGTGTAGCTTGGCAGCAATTCTGGACCTTAAAACTGTTATCTCCAAAATCCTGTGTTCTATTTTGCCCATTTCTAAAATTAAATCTGTCAGACATTATTACTTTTCCTGTTAATATGTGTTCTTCTTATTTTAAAGTGTTTAAATTCTCATTAGAAATCTCAATGCTACTTTCATTCCTGACTTGCAATCTATCAGTGATAATTTGATCTCTTCCCAAAGTGATTCTGACTTCTTCTGTAGAGCAATGCTATTTTTCCCCATATCTGATAGGTTTTTAAACTGTACACTGCAATGCTGGTTAATTATTCTTCATTTAGACTCAGCATTCTGCACTTCAGTATTGTTTAATGGAGCTTTTCCCACGCTTGTGCAGTCAAAATGTAGATATCCCATTTTTGCTAAATGGATGATTTCCCATCTTTCACAGCCTAATAAATTACACCTGTTCTTTTCAATTATTTCTCAAATAAAGCTGGCTGCTTTAATAAATTCTTCCTGCTTGAACCATGGTTTAAATGCAGCTTCAATATTCCCTGTACTACCTTATTCTGTTAGACTCTGTTTAGTCTTTGAAATGGCCCTTTTGTCACCTTAATTCTGGTTTTGTGATATTACTGGTGCTACAATCTTGATTTAAATTACTTCCATGGGCCTTGATTTTCTTCTGTAGCCATGCCTTGTAATATCTGCTTCAAACAGTGGCAATGGTCATTGTTAGCTGTTTGCCTATAGTTACTGTTGATAGTTCAGCTACTGACTATCTCTATGAGTAGCTCTTAAAGTCATTCATCCTGTAAATGTCCAGCACTACACTTGAATCCCTTGGATTTCTCTGCTCCTGGGTCCACTGGCTTTCTCTGCTTTTGGATCCAAAGAAATTCTCACTATTGTTACCTTGTACTATAAAGCAACCATTTCCACCATTGCTGAGGTATTACATGTGCTATAATGCCAACCATGACAACCTTGTGACTCTTAAAGTAAAGGGGCTCTTTCAGTTATAGTTTACTGCATGAAAACAATCAGTAAGATAGGCCTTGTCACGAGGAAGATGAGCAGACATCGTCACTCCAGAAGATCGAGAGCTGTTCTAGCTTAACTCCACTGATAATGTCATGTGGATGTCAGATTGGGCGGAGTTTAATGCAACAGGTTAAAAACCGAAAGAACTGCGGATGCTGTAAATCTGAAACAAAAACAGAAGTTGCTGGAAAAGCTCAGATCTGGCAGCATCTGTGAAGAAAAAAAAAATCAGAGTTAACGTTTCAGGTCCAGTGACCCTTCCTCAGAATGGATGGTAGCTGGGAAAACGTCAGCTTACATGCAGAAAATAGGGAGGGGGATGAGGTAGTGAGTAAACAATAGCATAGAGAAGAACAGTTGGACAGACAAAGGAGTTGATAAAGGCGGGTGAATAGCTGTTAATGGCAACTGTTAGTGACTAACAACAGGGGGTGTGTAATGGCAGGCTTTGTGGTAACAAGGCCTGGTGTGTGGGTTGGGGGGCTAGGACATGGGAGAGTTTAGGCCCTAAAATTATTGAACAATTCCAACTGTTCTTCTCTCTTTAGGCTCTATCCTATCATTTACTCCCTATCCCATGCCGCTCCCTATTTTCTGCATATAAACAGACGTTTTCCCAGCTACCATCAGTTCTGATGAAGGGTCACCGGACCTGAAACGTTAACTCTGATTTTTTTCTTCACAGGTGCTGCCAGACCTGCTGAGCTTTTCCAGCAACTTCTGTTGTTAATGCAACAAGTCTCCAATATCAACTGTTCCAGAACCATTACCTTTTTGTGTAATAAATACTCACTGTTATACTGCTATGATGATTTCCTATTACACTCCTGTAAGTACCCTCCACTACACAGCTTTAATTACTCACTGTTACAATACTATAATAATCTAATGTTGCACAGCTTTAATTACTCACTATTACACTGTTCCTATTGTCTATTGTTAAACTGCTTTAACAACCCATTGTAACATTACTATAATTATTCACTACTACACTGTTTTAATTACTCAGTCACACAAATATAATTGCCATCTGTCAGACTATATAATGACCCACTGCTACAATTACCCACTGTCACACTAGTTTAATTATTCACGATAACATATATAATTATCCATTGTCACATCAATATAAATACCCACTTTTACACTGCTGTAATTACTCATTGTTGCACTGCTACAATAATTCTGCCATTACGATCTCATCTCTGGTTTGAAAATGCTGGTAGGCAAGATCTTCCAAGGATTCAGGCCTAAAGTTGCCTGGAGACCACCTTGAGTAGCTGATTAAAATGGTTGTCACAACCGGCAAAAAAACTTTGGCCTGGTCTATTCAAGGTAATCAGTGACTCAACTATGTAAGTTGATCATTCTGGTCACTTTTTAAATGTTCCTTTTCACTTTACCCCCTCACTTCCTAACCTCTTTATGCTTTCACTTCCTTATCTCTTTATTTTTTCATTTCCTTACTTCCTCACCCTTACTCCTCTCAACCTGATACTTCTAAGCTATTACCCACTTTGTGAACAGTATTCAGAAATCGTATTATAACAGCTAGAAGCTGTTGAGTACCGCAAAATTCTCTGAGTAAACAAAGAGCTTCTTCAAAGCATCTATATAACCAATGTGAAACCTGTGTAAAATGATTAGCTAATTGGATTTCAGCTAAGAGCCCATAAACTCCCTAAATAAACAAACAGACTTTAGAACTGCAATTTCAACAGATATTGACACTGAATACATAAAAACAATGGGAAAAGATGAAACATTTGCAATTGGGTATTATATTATGCCACCTTTTCAACAGTGTAAATTGTACTGAAGGTTATCCATGAGATGAACCTTTTCTTAAATCATGTGAAGACTTTTCATGTTTGCAATGTTGATCTTTTACTTGACAGATTGCCATTTGATATAAGTAGCAATCTGGCAAGCACATTGTTTAAGGGCTCATTACATTTTTCAGTCACTGAACTGTCACAATTCACCTGAATGAAAATGGAAATAACTCTTGCTGTAGCATTTTTTGAATAGTGAAGGAAGCAAAACTACTTCCCTTAGCTTTTAAACCCTTCTGGGTTCACAGCTCCACGAGGCTGGTGTGAGGTCCTGTCACTTGCAGGAAATTAGAAATCATATGTGAGGAGTAGTCTCCGTGATCCCACAATGTTAACACATCCATCTTCCATGCAAGCATGTGAGAACCAGGACTACTCTCTCCCTGCCCTTATGAGTGTGAGAAAGGAGCAGGACTTCCAACTGCTCCACTCACCAGTCGTGTTTCTCAGTCCCACCTCGTTCTGTTCCAATTGGGATCAGGAATATCTGGCACCCCATGACACCACGCCCCCATACCCTCAAACATCTGTTCAATTATTCCTGACATCAACTCAAACAACCTCAATTCATTTTAAAGGGAAAAACTGAAACGTGCTTACAGCAATTTACTTGTGCGTACCCTTCGCAACAAAACTGAGATCATCAAAACATCTGGAAGTCAGCTGGCCACTTTCTCAAAAAAATTTCCACCATCAGTCATTTATCCAATTCACTTTTTAAAATTCTTATTGAATCTTTTCTCACCACCTGTCCCAGATTGTGCATGGAGCTCACTACCTAAGAATTTCCTCATGTCCTCTCTGGCTCTTTTGCTAAAAGATTCATTGTGTTTATTTCTTTTTATAAGGACCAAATGCCATACCACATCATAATTACCTAATCAAGTGGAAATTCAAAGGGTGTTATTTGTGAGGGCAGTTATTTGGATTCCTTAACAAAACTCTCAAAATGGTACAACTACCTGTTTTTCTTTTAATCCATTCAAAGTTTCAGCTTCACTATACTATATCTGTAAAGGTTATGAAAGAAAAGAAATGACCCAAAGCATCAAAATATAGCAGGGGAAATATGGGACTGTAGAGTGATTGGAGGTCATCCAGGTGGACCTCAGAATATGAAAACAAAAATGCTAGAAATCACAGTGTGTCAGGCAACATCTGTGGAGAGAGAGCAAGTTAACATAGAGTCTAGATGACTATCAATTATTAAAAAAAAATCAACATCCTTTCTCCCCCAGCATTCCAACCCCCAACAACTGCATAAATGCTGCCCCCTCCACACTTCACACCAGCTCTGATGAACAGTCATCTACACTAAAACATCACCTTGTTCTCTCTCTCAGGATGATGCCTGACCACTGTGAATTCCAGCATTTTTTGTTTTCAGTACAGATTCCAGCATGTGTAGCAATTTGCTCCCTCAGAAAATGAGTTCCCTGATTGGGGCAGTTAACTGATAGATAAAAACAGGACTGCCAGGTGTTCTCACTCTAGGAGCCAGCTCTCAGATAGCTGGGTTGGTGTCAAGTACTATGCATATGTAAGTAACGGGTGACTTGAGGGATATTTTACATCACCTGCACTAAAGTGTACAAAATAACAATTCAGCTCGTTTGCATCAATGATTAGTCACAGACTGGCCTAAGGCTCATTTCAGCAGGATGTTTAGAGATGGAAATTGGCCCTTAGACAATGAAAGGAGCACACCAGACTATTAAGAAGCTGTAATAATCATAGTGAATGGTCACTGCCTGTGGAATCTTACCATTTGCAGTCTTGATTTGTTCTGTCCTTCCTTGGATTTGTAACATTGTAACATTTGCACCATTTCTTTCTCCTGTTACCAGTGTGTACTCGCCCCTCCCATTGAAGGTGAAGTTTGCCCCATCAAAAGTAAAGAAATGTGGATCTCCAAATGTTGTGGCTGGAAGAGAGTTCAATAATATCTATTTGCAGCAATTTTTATATATGTCTATGCTTTTAAGAATGTGTCTTTTTTTTGTATTTGGATTCTTGGGGGTGGATTTTACAAGGGATGCACAAATCCTGCTCTCCTCTAGGGTTCAGAAGGGATTGAGGGAGAAGGTCCCATCAGGCCTGGGTCTATATAGAGCTTACAGTGCTCGGGTCAGGGGCTGGGGCCAAGAGCAGGATTTCTGGTACTGCCCCTGCCTCTGTGCTCCACCACATCCCAACCCCAGCCAAAAGGTCCATGCTCAGCCTGCCCACCCAATAACCAGCTGCTCCACAGCAATGTTACACTGGAAACAACCTTACTGGAGCCAGAGTCAAGCATGGACCACCATCTGACCGGAAGTCCCATCATAGACAACTGCTAACCAACTGGACTGTCTGGCCACTCTATAGTTTCAGTAGCTCCAGGACTGAGTAGTGGCCACTGCCTGGACCACAAGTAATTCCTGATGAAGTGTCAGGGATCTTAAACCTCATGCAAGTCCAAGGGGTGTTTGAAAGATGGGCCTGTCTGGTCCTGGGACAAGAGATACCCACACCCCTCCTGCCAACTTCCTTCCCAACAGCCTCCACTTTCCCCTGCCACCCACATTGTAGTAGTGGAGGCAGAATGAGGCTCTCGTGATGTATGTAAGCTCAGCAGGCCCAAGGGTGGGCAGACTGTCTGATGCATTGCCCAGCCTGGAGAACTGGGGAACAGGCCAGGGGTGGGCCACCCTTCATATTTTACAAGACCCCTCACCTACAAATAAACAAACAGGGTGTTGAAGGCAGCAGTAAAATTACAATCTCAAAATCAGAGGTGTTTTTCAACCTGCTGCCCCAGTAAGTGTGAATATAGAAAGTGCCCACTTACAGGCTCACTACTGGGAAAGGTGACTTGAAGTCTGGTGAAAGAGGTGCTAGTTATGGTCCCATTATTTCAGGAGAGATATCCTGGCAATATAGGCAATTCTGAGAAAGTTCACTAGGTTGGTAACAGGCATGGAGGGACTGTCTTCTGGGGCAAGGTTAGGCCTGTATTTATTGGAGTTGAGGAGAGTGAGCAGCAGCCTTATTGATGGATATAGGAATCTTTGAGAAATTGGCAGGGCAGATAGTGAAAGGTTGGTTCCCCTTGTGGGTCAGGGGGTATAATCGCAGGGTAAGGGATCACCCAGTTAGGACAAAAAATAAGAGGAACTTCTCTTTCAGTGGATAGTGAATATGTGGAATAGGCTTTTGAGGCTTTATTGGTAAGTATATTCAAGGCTGAGAGAGACAGGTTTTTAACCAGTACAGGTATCAAGAGTCAGGGAAAAAAAACAGGAGAGTGGACTTGAGGATAATCAGCTCGGCCCGATTTCATTGAATAGGGAGCAAATCTGAGGGACTGAATGGCCCACCTTATGATCTGATGTCTTATAGGCTGAACTGAAGTTAATAGGAAAATAAACTGCAGCTGTTTGCCATAAATGATACACTTAGAGCTGCATAATATTTTTGGCGGTTTGACCAAATTGAGAATAGGCCTGACAAACAATCCTGGTTTTGGTCTTGTTTGGCAATTATTATTATTGTTTTCATGCATCACTGCACAGATAAGCTGTCTTCCACCCTTGGACGACTGTCTGGGTGGGTTTTCTTCGGTTTCCTCCCACAGTCCAAAAATATGCAGGATGGGTGGATTGGCCATGCTAAATTGCCTATAGTGTCCAGGGATGTGTTGGCTGGATGGATTAGCCATAGGAAATGCAGGGTTACAGGGATAGGGTATAGGCTGTGTCCAGGTGGGATGCCTATTGTAGGGTTGGTATAGACTCAATGGGCCAAATAGCCTGCTTCCACACTGTAGGGATTCTATGATTCATTGTTGTCCTCCCTTACCAGCTCTTGGAGGTCTGTAGGTTGTGCAGCCACTAGAAGGTCGATGCAGGAAGTAATACTGGCAGTTATCGGACCACAAGCAGCAGTAATAAAAGCTTATCACATCGTAGAGTCCGTGAGAGAAGCCGGGAATTCTTGGGGGTCTCTCGTACGGTGGGGAGCCCCAGTCATGCCCTCGGTCAGGGGTGCTGCCTCCAACAGAGTCTCCAGTTAGAATCTGTCTGCCTTGGGCATCATAGCAGCACTGCTGTCCTGCTCCATACTTGGGGCTGGGGGAACAAGAGTAATCAGTCAGCAACAAAATGTTGCAGGCAAGAAAAATCATCAATGACAACCAACAACAACAACTTGGATTACATAATGCCTGTAAAAGGAACAAAACATGCCATGTTTCATCACAGAAGCATAAACCAATAAAAATTGGCACCAAACTACATAAGGAGATATTAGGACAGATGAAACATTACTTAGTCAGAGATAACTTTACAAAAAAGAATTATTTATCATCCTTCATGAATGATGGGCATATGAAAATGCTTTACAGCTAATGATGTATTTTTGAACTGTACTCTTCATTGTGAGGTAGGAACATTGGAAGTCCATTTGCATGCAGACTGCAACAGGATAATGAGCAGATAACTTCCTTTTGTAATGCTGATTGAGGGGAGAATGTGACACTGTGATAACTCCCTGCATTCTCTCAAAATAGTGCCATAGAATATTTCACATCCACTCAAGGAAGCAGACTCTGTCTGATGTTTCATCTGAAAGACAGTCCCTCCAACAGTGCGGCATTCCCTCAGTACTACACTTGATCTTCTAGAACGAACCTGAAACCAGAACCATACTGCCCAGAGGCATATGAGCCATCAGCCAAGTCACAGCTCACACGAGGAGATTTGCAAAGGGGAGAAGGGAGGTAGAGGTAGACATGTTTATGGAGGCTGCTCCAGAGCCCAGGGCGTTGGCAACTGAAGACATGGCCACCAATGTTGAAGATGAGCAGATTGGGGATGGTCAAGAGGCCAGAATGGGACAACAGCAAAGATATCTGGGAGGTATAGATATGGAGGAGGCTAAAGAGAGAAAAAAAGAGTGAGGCCATGGAGCGACTTAAAAACAAGGAAGAGAAGTTTGAATCATTGCCTTATTGAACCAAGAGACAGTGCTGGCCAGAGCTGAGGGGTGAGCAAAATGTGGTGGAAGTCTGGGCACACAAACTCATCAGCAGATTGCTGCAGGATGCCATCTGCTACAAAGGTTATTGTTCAAAGATCTGTAGATCAAGCAGAGAGCTCTATCGTAAACATTAGCAGAGCGGGTTAACTATGCTGTAAAATTAAGCAAGCAATTTATTAATCAATCCCAGCAAAACTTTCAGCATGTTGGAGTAAAATAAACCAATTAACTAACAAATTATCATTTTACTTAAACAAAAGATAAGGATGGTCCTGAAATATCTAACTTTCCAACCCAGTGATTGAACTTCTTACAACACTTAGTATTGCATCAATAACCGTTCTGATTACATTCCTATCTTGAATACAAGCTGATCCTGCTCATATGTACTGCTCATGTCCCTGTGTAAAATCCAGCATTCTGGAACTGCAACAGTCATCAACAAAAATGCTGATCAATCGAGTCCTTTCCTCCCAATGTCCCTCAACCACTAAACCCATTTGGTTCCAAAAAAGGGACAGCAAAACAATAGAAGCATTAGAGGCCTCTTATAATAAAGCAGGCTGCAAGGCTGTGCTATTTCATGACTAGACCATTAGATGGAGCCCCTTGCCAGTGGAGAGAGAATTGGAAAAGGCAGATACAATGAAAAGGAGAGGGACGAAGATAGGAAACAAGGGAAAGATAAAGGGACAGAGACTAACAGGGAAAGTAAAAGAGACAGAAAGTACAAATATTATGGGACTCCTACGAGACTCTACGATGTAGTGTTGAGAACTGCAAATCCAAATAAAACAATAAAGATTATACCAAATTAAAATGTGTTATCAACTGCCATCAAATTATGATTTTATGGCCAGAAATTGAGTTATGCTGTTTGGAAACTTCCTCGAAAATGATTGCACATACTTCAGAGGCCCACAGCCTCAGAGAGCTATTAGAACTGCCAGAAAAAATGTCAAAGAAAGAACAAAGAATTTTTATAAACTGCTTGGGTAACCTCATGACATTTCAAAGTGCTTTACAGATAATGGACTACTTTTGAATGTTGTCGTTACTGAAATGTAGAAAACACTTTGTGCACAGCAAGATCCCACATAAAGCAATGTGAAAATGCCCAGATAACCCGTTTTTATGAGGTTGGTTGAGAGTAAACATTGATCAGCTCTTGAGAGTATTTCCACTTTCTCCAATAAATGGCACCTGTTATCACTAGTTAGCAATGGGGCCGAACTGATCACCCATTTGTTGAGGAACTCTGAGTTTTACTCCATGGATTTCGGGACCCCCACAAAAACAAAATCATCATCCTCACCCTCTTACGCCCCCCCCCAATGAAGTCAACTTTCCTTTTGCTTTGTCCTTCTTCCATCCAATCTGCCCATCTTCCATTCCCCTCATCATTTCTGTAACAGTCCCAATCTCTCTCCTGCTGCTATCCTCCATTGTTCTTTTCTTATCCACACCCTTTTTCTTTCCCCTTCCTGTCCTCTCGCAGTCATCCTATTCTTTCTCCTTTCTTGCCTATCCTTTTAATCCTGTCCGCTATTCCCTCTCTTTCCATTCCCCAATTTGACTCCTCTCATGGCTGGGTTCAGTTCTGTTTTTTCCCCAAATCGTGTATAACCCAAGACATGCCTTTAGAGTTGACTCTCGCAATACCTCCTTGCTGCAACACTACAGTGACCTGAGATAGTAGGAACTGCCGATGCTGGAGAATCTGAGATAACGAGGTGTAGAGCTGGATGAACACAGCAGGCCAAGCAGCATCAGAGGAGCAGGAAGGCCGACGTTTTGGAGGAGGGAAAGGGGATTCTGAAATAAATAGGCAGAGAGGGGGAGGTGGATGGAAGATGGATAAAGGAGCAGATAGGTGGACAGGAGACAGAAAGGTCAAAGAGGTGGGGATGGAGCCAGTAAAGGTGAGTATAGGTGGGGAGTTAGGGAGGGGACAGGTCGGTCTTTCCGGAGGGAGGCGGGTAACTTCTTCAAGGTAGGCATCCAACCTTTCTCCTCCCTAACTTCCCACCTATACTCACCTTTACTGGCTCCATCCCCGCCTCTTTGACCTGTCTGTCTCCTCTCCATCTCTCTGCTCCTTTATCCATCTTCCATCCACCTCCCCCTCTCTCTCTATTTATTTCAGAATCCCCTTCTCCTCCCCCATTTCTGAAGAAGGGTCTGGACCCGAAACGTCAGCTTTCCTGCTCCTCTGATTCTGCTTGGCCTGCTGTGTTCATCCAGCTCTACACCTTGTTACTACAGTGATCTGAGTAAGTTACAATATCTTTTGGTCTGTGAGGTACACATCCTGTATAGGGAAGGTGCTCCACCTAGTGTCTCCTCTGTGAAATGATAATGATATGTTCTCACAGCAACACACAGCAAAGAGACTGGTCAAAAGTTTGATGCTAGCATATTTGGGCGGCACAATGGCTTAGTGGTTCACGCTGCTGCCTCACAGCACCAGGGAGCCAGGCTCAATTCGAGCCTCAGGCAGCTGTCTGTGTGGAGTTTGCACATTCTCCCCGTGTCTGCGTGGGTTTTCTCCAGCTTTCTCCGGTTTCCTCCTACAGTCTAAAGATGCGCGGGTCAGGTGGGCTGGCCATGCTAAATTTCCCATAGTGTTCAGGGATGTGCAAGCTATGTAGGTTAGCCACAGGAAATACAGGGTTACAGGGATAGGTTAGGGAGGTGGGTCTGTGTCGAATACTCTTTGGAGGGCCAGTGTGGACTTGATGGGCTGAATGGCCTGTTTCCACACGCTAGGGATTCTATATATGGCTTACACACAAGCCTTCTTCCAATTTACTTCACCTAGCGCAACACTTGTGGTGGAGGGATAGCAATAGGGATGGGGGATTGTGAGAAAAATAAACAGACATTTCTGCAGTGGCAAACACAACACTTGATTGAATATTGCCCTCCTGGGACCAGGATTCAAGTTATTACTGAGTCACTGCAGGACATTCTGAAGGTTTGGGGAGGTGAGGTGTGAGGGAGGAATAGCCAGAGCTTGTGGCTCATATTGGTACCAACAATACGGGTTTTAAATAAAAGGGATGTGGTCCTGCAAGCAGTAAATAGGAAGCTAGGAGATAAATTTAAAAACAAGATCTCAAGATTACTCCTAGTGCCACATGCTGGTGAGAACAGCATGTCGCAGGTGAATGTATTGCACTCCAACGGAACCCAGTCAAATATGCAGGGGCATCGACTGGTATGGTGCGACTGGTATGGTGGGGGTTATATTAGAGTGACAGGAGGATGAAAAACACACCAGGGAGGCACAAGAGGTCGAAAGGAAAATAGAAACGAAAAATAGACAACTAGAATTTTAGGGACAGTTTGAGAGCCTTGATCTGGGGGGTGGGGGAGTGTTGCAGGAGGTATAGGGATGCTCAGGTCCCCTCAAAACGCAAAAAGTCCCTCATTGTTCATGTAAAGAGGTCATTCCCAAAAACAGTGAAGTTGTACCATGGTCTGTACCTGATTCTTCAATGTTGGCCAATTTTGGAGGGTTTGAGTTATTAAAAGAGGCTGGATAGGCTGGGACCTTTTTCACTGGAGAGTAGAAGGTTGATGGGTAACCTTATAGAGGTTTATAAAATCATGAGGGATATAGATAAGGTGAATGGCAGGTGTCTTTTCCCTAAGCTGGGGGATTTTTAAGGTGAGAGGAGAAAGATTTAAAATAGATATGAGGGGCAACTTTTTTTACATAGAGAGTGGTTCATGTGTGAAATGAAATGCTAGAGGAAATGGGGGATGGAGGTACAGTTACAACATTTAAAAGACATTTGGATTAGTACATGAACACAAAATGCTTGGAGGAATATGGGCCAAGCGCAGGCAGGTGGAACGAGTTTAGTTTGGGATTATGGTCGGCATAGACTGGTTGAACCGAAGGGTCTGTTTCCCTGCTGTACAACTCTATGGCTAGAAAGCAAAAGTAGAAGGCAGAGAAAATAAGGGCTACCAGCAACTAGACCACTGTAAAAATATGAAGAAGTCAGTTCTAAAGGTATTTTATCTGAATGCACAGAGCATTCAGAATAACAGATGAATTAACAGCCTTATAGCTGTAATCAGATACAATATGATTGCCACTACAGAGACATGGTGCAGGTTGACCAAGGAAGAAGACTGAATATCCAAAGATATTTAATGTTTCAGAAGGACAACCAGAAAGGAAAAAATTGGTGGGATTGCATTGTTAGTAAAGGATGAAATCAGTTCAATAGTGAGAAAGGATGTTGGCTCAAAATCTAAATGTAGAATTAGCCAGGGTGAGACTGGAAATTAGAGAGGTAACAAAGATGCTTCAGTAACCATAGGTGACTTTAATATATTGATAGACTGTGAAACCACATGAGCAATAATACCTTGGTAGATAAACTCCTGGAGTGTGTATTGTTGTTTTAGGCCAGTATGGAGGAACCGGTTAGGGAACAGGCTATCCTAAATTCAGCATTGTGCAATTAATAATTAATAACAACAATTAATAATCTTGTTGTTTGTTGTCCAACAGGGAAGAGTGACCATAAAATGTTAGAATTCTTCATCAAGATGGAAAGTGAGACAGTTCAATCCAAAATTAGGGTCCTAAATATATACAAAGGAAGATATGAGGGTATGACGGATGAGTTAGCTGTGACAGGTTGGGTAACTTCATTAAAAGGCATGATGGTAAATAAGCAATGGCTAATATTTAAGGAATGAATGCATGCATTGTGACTGTTGTACTTTCCCTTCTGGTGCAAAGGCAGAACAGAAAAATCAGTCTAACCATGGTTAACAAAAGAAGTCAAGGATAGTATTAGATCCACAGAAGTACCATATAAATTTTCTCGAAAAAGTAGCAAACCTAAAGCTTGGGAACAGTTTACAATTCAGCAAAGGAGGACCAAGAGATTTATTAAGAGGCCAGAAAAACATATGAGAGTAAACTTGGAAGGAACATAAAAGCAAACTGTAAAAGATTCTAAAGTTGGTAAAGTAAAGAAGATTGGTCAAGCCAAATGTAGGCTTTTTACAGGCTGAAATGTGAGAATTGATCATGCAGAACATTAAAGTGGCAGAGAAATTAAACAGTTACTTTAGTACTGTCTTCACAGAAGAAGGCACAGATAACTTCCCAGTTAGAGAACCAAGGGTTTACTGAGAAAGAGGAATTGAGGAAGTTAATATTAGTAAACAAAAAAAGGCATCCTGGGGAAATTAATAGGACTGAAAGCTAATAAATCCCCAAGGCTTTATAATCTACATCCCAGGATACTAAAGGGCAAGCCAACAGAAATATTAGATTTGTTTGCTATCTTCTTCCAAGATTTCATAGCTTCTGGAGTAGTGCCATCAGACTGGACGGTGGGAAATGTAGCCCCACTATTTAACAAAGGCAGGAGAAAGAAAACAGGGAATTACAGAGCAATTAGCTGAACATCAATAGTAGGGAAATTGCTGGAGTCTAATAGAAAGGAGGTGGTAACAGGACTGCTGTTGCAAAACATGGAGTAACAGGAATCCTAGGCAATATCGATGGGGTTAGACAAAGTCAACATGGATTTATGAAAGGGAAACTATGTTTAACAAACTACTGGAATTTTCTTTGAGGACCTAACTGCTAGAATAGATAATGGGGAACCAGTGAGTGGTGTAATTGGCTGTTAAGAAAACTTTTGTTAAGGTTCCACAGAGGAGGTGAGTGTGCAAATTAAAGTACATGAGATTGGTGGTAGTGCACAGGCACAGACTGAACTGGTTGGCAGGCAGGTCAATCTCAGAGTGAAAAGTGGCGACTAATGGGATCCTCCAGTAAAAATGCTTCGGCCCCAGCTATTCACAATATATCTCATCAATTTGAGTGATCCAATGAAGTACTTCCAAAATGTCCAATGACACAAAATGATTGGGAATTGTGAGCGATGAGGAAGATGTAAAGAGGCTTTGGGATGATTTCGACAAGTGGGCAAATAGGTGGATGATGCAGTACAACATGGAACAATGTGATGTTGCCCACTTTAGTAGAATATTATTTAAATGGTGATAGATCGAGAAATGGGGATGTAGAGAGAGACCTGGGTGATTTCATATACTGGTCATTGAAAGCAGTTATGCTGTTGCAGTTAGGAAGGTAAATTATATGTTGACCTCCATTGCAAGAGAGTTTGAGTACAGGAGCAAGAATGTTTTACTGCAGCTGTCGGACCTTTGAGAGACCACACCCAGAGTACTCTGCACAGTTTTGGTCTCCTTACCCTTAAGAAGGGATTTGCTTGCCATAAAAGAAAAGCAGTGAAGATTTACCAGACTAATTTCTGGGAAGGCAAGAGTGGTGGTTGAGGACAGGTTGGGTTGACTAGGCCTGTATGCACCGGAGATTAGAAAAATGAGAGGGAGTCTCATTGAAATATATAAAATTCTGATAGGTCTGCAACAGACTCGATGCAGGGAGACCTGTCACAGTCGCAGGATATGGGATCGGCCATTTCAGATTGAGATAAGGAGATGTTTCTTTGCTCAGATGTTGGTGACCCTGTGGTATTCTCCACTACAAAAAGCTATGGAAACCAAGTTACTATATAGAAATAGATTTCTAAACATTAGATGAGTCAAAGGGTATGTGGAGAGAGCAGGAGTGTGGCATGAGATCAAGGATCAATCGTGATCATATTAAATGGTGGGGTCAGGCTTGATGGGCCAAATGGCCTACTCCTCTTCCTGTTTTCTAAGTTCCTTTGTTTGAATAGAACAGGAAACCGGACTTTTCACTTACCTCGCTTGGATAGCTCGAACACAGTGTGCAGCTCCTGGGTGATAGGTACATATACTCCCCTTCTCAATGTCACACCCATAGTCTGTCTGCATTAGAAATGAGATCTTTCAGTCAGTCCAGCCTCAAACATCTTTAAAGTCTTTCATTTTCAATTCATAATCCCTCAGCGGAATTGAGTGAGTGCCTCTATAGTGGATACAAACACCACTCGTGACATCCTGCATATGAAGAGGAAAGAAACCTGAGAGGAGATGATTTCCTTTAAACGTCCCCTAAATTGTCTCAGAAAAAAAAACTGAAAACACGTTTATCATTATTTAAAAGCTCCTTGTTTTTCTTCCAGCATGACCTCGTTATAAGATACGAGAGACAGAAGAAATAGACCATTCAGCTCCTCGAGCTTGCTCTGCCATTCAATATGATTATGGCTGATCTTCTGCCTCAACTCTACATACTTTTTGTTCCCTTGATTCCAAGGCACCAAAAATCTGTCTATTTCAGCCTGAAGTATGAAGCATTCATAACTCTCTGGGATAGAAAATCCCAAAGATTCACAAGGGGAGAAATTTCTTCTCATCTCATTCCAATATAGTCTATCCTTTATCCTTACACTGTAGCATCAGTTATTGAAATAACTGCACAGAGGCCGGGGTCCCATCACCAAGTCACCCTTTATTTACCAGTGCACAGTACACTGGCTATGGCCAGACAGCTCGGAGTCAGTCGTCAACTTAGAATATTCTCATCTCTTGGTTATATTGATCAGCCAGGGCTTTCCTGATTGGCCCAGGGTTAACAACCCCAATCAAGGACCTCCTAGTTCACAAAGCCCACCTGGTTCAAATCACTACTGTTATACAGTTTCCAATCTCGAGAAATATCCCTGTAGTGTCCACACTATCAAGTTTCAGAATCTTCTATGTTTCAATAAGGTCATCCCTCACTCTTATAAACTCCAGGCGAATCTAGTGAACTATGGCCAATAGCTCCAAAGCAAGTCTATTCTACCTTAGATATGAAGACCAAAACTGGGCAGTATTCTGAGTGTGGTCTCAGGAAAGCCAGGTCCAATTGTAATAAGGCTTCCTCATTCTTGTACCCTAATCTCCTTGTAATAAGGGCCAAATTGCAATTTACCTTCCTAATTGCTCATGTGTCTGCACCTTAATTTTCTCCATTCTGTGTATCAGTACACGTAAATTTCTCTGAGCATCGACATTTAGAAGTTTCATACATTTACATAAATAATTATGCTTTTCTATTCTTCACACCAACAAGAATAACCTTCACCCCCAAATTGTACTGCATGTGACATCTTGTTTCCTACACTACACCAATAACCACACTCCATTGTGCTTCATCAAGTATTTCACTGGCTTTGAAATGTTTGGTTGTCACAAAAAGTGAGATATAAATGCAAGCCTTGCTTTTATTTCCTTTTTGTTGCTCATTCATTTAAGCTGTCTATATCTCCTTGCAATATCTTTGTATCCATCTCACGGTGTACATGCCAACCTGGATTTATGGTCAGCAAACTTAGATACTTTATTCTTAGTCTCTCGATTTCAGCCATCAAAGGACCATAAGATATAGAAGCAGAAATAGGACCATTCAGCCCATCAAGTCTGCTCCACCATTCAATCATGGCTGATAAGTTCCTCAACCCCATTGTCCCACTTTCTCCCCGTAACCCTTGACCTCCTTGATAATCAAGAACCTATCTATCTCAGTCTTAAATGTACTCAATGACCTGGCCTCCATAGCCTTCTGTGGCAGTAAATCGTCATACATTATAAATAACTGAAACCTCACCACTGATCCCTACAGCAATCCATGGGGTCAAGCCAGTTAACTGGAGAGTGTCCCAACTAAACCAAATCTTGTTTCTTGTCAGTTAAACAACTTTTCATCCATGCTAATAAATTAATCCACCTCCATGAGCCCTTAATTTTTGTATCAACTTTGTAATTGCATTTTATATATCCAAGTACATCACAATTACTAATTCCCCTAAACATCTGCAAGAAATTCAAGTGAATTTGTCAAACACAATAACTCTTTCATAAAACTACCTTAACTTAGCTTGATCACACAGATTCTCTAAATGTATTGTATGGATTTCCTTGATAATAGATTCCAGAGTTTTCTTGACCATTTATGTCTGCCTGACTGGTCTCTAATCCTCTATTTCCCCTCTTTCTCACATGTTGAGTGGCATGTTACTCTTGTTAATTTCATCTATTTATGGTGTGTAATTTATGACTTCTATAATGAAGGCAAACAAAGTATTTGCTCAAAGTCTCTGCTATTTCCTCTTTCATCCTGTTCACTTCTCCTGCCTCTGTCTCTAAGAGACTAATGTTTACTTTAGCTACTGACCTTTTGTATGTACTTGTATCCATCTGTATAAACTTGCAAAGCTTTTACACCAGTAAGCTTGGAGACTTACTGCTTATATCTCAGTTCAGCCCCAGTCCACATAAATCAGGGTAGCTACGTGATTAAATAAAATCTTGTCCTTGGAAGACATACATAGAGCAGCACATCCAAACCAGACAGCACAGTGGTCGCATACTGAACTGTAATTCACAAGATACACTATATTCTATCCCCAGTCAATCTGCGTCTCTGACAAATGTACGGCCCTAACCCTAATCCCAAACCCTAACCCTATCACAGAGAGACTCCAAGACAAAATTTCTATCTGCCTAAAATGGAGTGAATTCTCTCTCACTGCCTGATGCTGGAGAACCTAGGGTATAGTAGCAATGGTCACAATTGGGTTTTAGGTATGTATTTAATGAATGTTTAGAGATTAGCCAATTAAGATGCACATATTACCAATGCAGTTCACAAGTAATCATCCCACTGCTCATTCTACTGTGAAGTGTAGTGATCGTTTTAATGTGGGGAATTGAAGCAACCACTTTACATTGAACAAGACCCCATAACAACAATGAAACAAATGACTGAATAATCTAAAATAACAAGATGTAGAGCTCCTGCTCCTCTGATGCTGCCTGGCCTGCTGTGTTCATCCAGCTCTACGCTTTGTTACCTCAGATTCTCCAGCATCTGCAGTTCCCACTGTCACTGAATAATCTATTTCTGATTGAGTTGGAGAACTATTCACTGAAGCAAGTTGATTGAAGAGTTCCCTGATTGTTTAGCAGGCAATACTGAACCATTGACTCAGGAAACCCTCAGGCTCAATTGCAGAGGCTTTGCAAGGGAGTTGGCTCTCAGCGAAAAGTTATCTCAGTTCCTCAGTAAGGACAAAACAGGGCTTTCACTCCCAATCACAGCCCGAATGTTCAGGCACATCAACACAAGGTAAGGGCAGAGTTAAATGTAGTTGTGATAACCTCCATATCACAGGCTTTTTCGCCCAATTAGACTATAATGAGGTTTCAATGAAATAAATGTTCTTCCATCAGTGAAGCCTAGCTTTCCAACTGTAGCAATGTTGGGGCTCACGCATGAAGATTGATCACATGAACAATACACCAGAGATGATTGACACTGATGAGTTTGCACTGCAAGCAACAAAGTACTATATATGGGCAGACAGGTTGAGGAAATTGTGGGCAGAGCGGGTGAGCATTTAAAAAACTGTCCACTTTAAATGGAACAGCAATAGTTCAATTCAGTTCCTTTTTTTAGCGAAATATCATGCTTACATGAAATCTCCCTGTATCTGCCCTCGACTGTGCCAGGGTACAAGGGCAATCTGCAATCTCCAACAGGAAGTTTGGTAGCTTCTCTTCACTTTTGTGCCAGGCCAAACATTTCTTGTACGCCCAGGCAGCTGAGTCTTCTCTGAACTTTTCTTCCAGGTGCCAAGCTAGAGCATGGCTTGGGCTCCATAATGCTCTGACATTACTGAATCAAAAAGGATGCAAAAGACATGGTGAGGTCTCGACTTTAATAATCATTCAAATCTACAGGAAACCTACTGGCAATGCCTAATGAAAAGACTATGTACATATATGTTGCCTCTGTGTTCTTGCTCAACAAGGTACACGTTAATGTAGGAGCTAATATTCTGAGGACATGGGGTTGAATCCCATGATGACAGATGGTGAATTCAATAAAAATATGGAATACAAAAATTGCCTAATGGCAACCATGCAACCATTGCTGATTGTCGTAAAAGCCCATCTGGTTAATTAACATCCTTTAGGGAAGAAAATATGCCATCCTTACTTGGTCTGGCCTGCATACGTCTCCAGATCCATAGCAACGTGGTTGACTCTTAACTCAAATTATAGGTGGGCAATAAATGCTGGCCTTGCCAGCAATGCTCACATCTCATGAATTAATAAACAACAAAAGGTGGTCAATTGTGCTCGACGGATCAAGAAAAGCTGACTGGATGTAGAGTGCAACTCAACCTAATCTGTCTGACCAACATGTTCAGGCCAGGTGTCATTATTGTAGCACTGCCATACTTTGATTCCTTACACCAGCTACCTTTATTGCCTCTCTTGAGCAAGAATGTTGGTCAGTGCAGAAAGGTGAGGAACATCCCTGTTCTTTTCTGAGAATAGGGCCCTCGTCCAAAAATCAATTGTGTCTCAACCAACAATGCAACACCTCTTCCATTCAACAGTGAATTGTCAGCTCTTAATATGTGTTCATGTCCCTAGAGCCTGAATTCATAACCTTCTGACTTAGAATTGGAAGTGCTACCAATTGAGACCCAGCAAACTCAATCTCAGCTAAAATCCTTAGTATCAGGATATGTGCTGTGGAAAGAGGAAGACACTCATCTTAAAGATTACGATGAGAGCTCATTCTAATCCTTATGACATTCTTTATTCAAAAGATCCTATTGTTTAAAGACAATCCATATAAATTGACATATAAATGCCAAGTCATTAAGTGTGGGTTATTTAATGCACTTCTGAAAATGTCTTCACAAAAGAGCTATTAAATTAGAATCAAATCCAATATGTCCATGTTTCATTTCTCTGCTTTCTGAACAAACTAGAAAGAGATGTGAGGATTCAAACGTTACACAAGACCAGCCAGAGATGGTCAGTAAAGAGGATTCAGCTCCTGGGGTAGAATGGGTAATCTATAGCTGGTAACATCTTGCCCTCCTCACATGACCAAGCTGCTGATGTTGATGATGTGCACTGTTGCATTTTTGCAACACATTGATAACCCCTATGTTTGATCCACAACATGGGCAAAATTAAAATCCAATTCTGGATTGATATGGCAAGAAATTATGTTGCTTTTAAACTTGTGACACTAGGAATGAGAAACATGCTGGATTGTAATGCTAATTTAATACCGGGGCCTCAGATTGGTAATCCATCAAAAAGTCTCTGATTAGACACCCAGCATAGATACCCAAACACAGATTCCTGTACTCACAGCGCCCCATCTTTTTGATCCTCAGCAGTTAGTCGCAGCATTCCAATCTCCCATTCAGAATAGGGTTTTTCAGCAGATTTAGGGGTGAATGTGAAACTCCCTTTGTTTGGTACAGCTTTTCCAAGTGAGTAGAGGTAACTCCATTTCCCTTCCCAGGATTCTGAGTATGGTGTACCTGATGAGAAAAGTTGTCAAGTTGTAACTTAGTTGTACCTTTATTAAATGAACATAAATTTATCATCGAAAGCACTTTGTCATGTAAAGTTTACAAATACATAGTTTTTCTTGATCTAGGACGAAATTCAAACCACAAAGACATACTTCCATGTGTGACAGCAACCCACCTGAAAGCTGCAGTTCAAAAGGCTGACACTAGGAGCACTATTTCAACTACCAGTGGATTACTGATTACAAATTGTAGCATGTGACATTGGTATTTAGGCGACAGAGAGTGGCAGGAATCAGTCGAATACCCAATTAAATGTGGATGGGCCAACAGCAAAGACTGTGGAGTTACTTGACTGCCACTCTACACATCTCAAACCAAACAAAAGGAAAGATCAAAACCCAATATGCAGCTAATGGAAGTTAATGGCCGCTATCAACTTCCAAGTACATGATGATGACCTTCCTCATCCAAACTAAACTGGATAAACTTTAGAGTTAACCCACAATGCAGGACACAGCCAGTTTTGCCTAGATGGGGAAGGCCATTGAGGTACAATAGGAAGTTGATAGTGGCTATTCATTTCTATCTGTTGTCCTGCTGTTTTCCCTAGTGAAGCTCCACTCCAATAAACAGGTCTCAAAAAGTTAACTCTGTGGCCTCCTGGTTGTTGAGTAGCTTTCTTAAGTGCGTAAGATCAAGGGACTACACAATTCAATCAAAGTGCGGACTCGAATCAGTACTTTTATGTTAAACTGGGAAACTGAGTTGGAAGTGCCAATGCATGTTATACATATGGTGTATAGGATGGGCTGAAGGGCTAAAATCGTTGATAATATTCGACAAGCGGCATGATCTTTAATGAGTCCTGTGAACATTCCCATATGTGCTGCAGACAGCACAAAAATAAACTTGTTTTCTGTACTAGCAAGCAGTTTTGTGTTCTGTATTTGTCGTCTCTGTGATTTGTTACACTGTGTAAGAGAGAGCTTCATTCTGAGTTGGAGTTCACCTTGGAGCAGGATCACGAATAATGCCAAGAACAAACCTAAGCCTCCAGACCAGCCATCGATCAAGGGGTCCTTGGCTGGCAGAAGGGCACGAGGCTTATTGCTTTCTTTTCCCTTTCTTTTACCCTTATTATTATTATTTATTGTTATTACATAAAAACACCCACATCTAAGCAAATTGCTGTTGTCGAGTCTTCTCTTAACTATATTTAACCAAATCCAAAAGAGCTGCTTAGATACACACTGTGATCCAAGACACTTTTGGTGATGAGGATGGGATTCAGGAAAATATTTAAGTGAAGGGAAAGGCATTCTGATGCTCCAGAGACCTTCTGTATTCCAGGGTGGAATGCGGCAGACTCAGGGTTTGGGTCTGTAGGTAATTTGTTAGCACAATTAGGGCCCACGCAAGAATGGGAGACGGTCATAACCAGAAAAAGAGAGAAAAGAGGGTTAGTCATACACGCTGCCGTACACGAATGCTTGCGAGAAAAGTGCTTCCCCAAAAGCAAGGACAGTGCACCACAGATGGAATGGATATTGTTAACAGCTCTGTATTCTACATGTAGGGAACTGGAAGAGTGCCAGTCCAAAAACAGGCAGTTTGAGGCCGCATTGACGCAATAGAACAGCGTAACATCCCCCTAACAGAAGCAGTTAAGACAGCGCAGGAGAGGGCTGAGAATGTGGAGCAGAAACAGAACCAACTGGTATGCTGTCCGGCAACGGTACATCAGAAAAAGAGAGCAAAACAGTGCAACTGGAAAGTTGACCCAGTCAAAGTGTGCACATTATTAACCTCCCAATGGGACCCCGACTATTGGGATGGAGACATTCGGTATTCTTCTGATCCAGAGACTGAATTGACGGATGGGGAAGGGGATGCTCGACCTCCCGAGCCATCCTCAGAGAAGGGACTAATAGCACGCCCCCTAATAACAAATAAGGCAAAACGAGTAGGAGGACAGAACTCACAAAATTTGAGAACAGTGAGAGATTACTCTATGTCCAAATTGCAGGATTTGGGGTCATGCTTTAAGCAGATAGCGGGGGAACCCTTGGCCTCTTGGCTGACATGGTCATGTGACCAGGGCACCGCCCATATTATGCTGAGTGCCAAAAAGCAAGGGACTCTGGGAGTACTAAGTGTTGATCCACATGTGAATAATGTCTTCAGAAACATAGGGCAAACTGGATTGTCACTAGCAGTAGGAAACAAGTACCCTTCCCTGATAGACTAAGAAGGTGATACTGAAAAATGGGAGAGCATACCAGAAGGTATAAAACTTTGGAGGGATTTAGCTATGCAGGTCACATGGCAGTCACATGACTGGAAGATTGCTGGAAAGCCCCTGTGGGGAACAGAGCTATGGAAACAAATATGGGCAAAGGCACAGCACATGATAATCACTGTGTACCATGTTGATGCCCATGTGTAGGATGGTTCAGAATCTGCTGGTCACAACAATACCGTGGACGGAATAGTAAAAACCAGAACGGTTGAAGATGTATCTGAAAAGTATCACACAGGAAAATGAGCTCATGAAAAATCAGGACACTTAGGGTATCACAGCACTGTGCAATGGACAAGAGATCAAGGTGCACATTTACCCGCTGACCTGGTAAAAGAAGTCATTGGCAAGTGTAAAATATGTTAAAAGGTAAAACACATTTTACTGCCAAAAAGCCAATGGTCACAAATCAAATGAGGAGAACAACCTGCTCAAAGCTGGCAGATTGATTATGTTGGCCCATTACCATTGACCATGGTGGACACCTACTCTGGGCTAATGCTAGCTTTCCTGACAACAAAAGTGAATCGGTGTGACACTGTTAAGGGCCTAGAACAGTTGATATCCTATTGTGGCGAGCCATCAGAAATACAATCAGATAATGGCTGACACTTTACAGGCCAACAGGTGCAGCAATGGACTGCAGACAGTGGGATACATTAGATGTTCCACATTCCCTATTACCGTCGAGCGGCGGGCCTTGTAGAACGAATGAGTGGTTGATTAAAACAATAAATTAGATTATTGACCCCCTAATCATACATCACAGGGGTGACTCAAAGTGCTGCCACGGGCAATGTGTAATCTGAACAATCGGCTCTAAAAGGAGGGGCCCCAATGAGTAGAATGTTTCCTCCCAATAAACCTACAATGGCTGACGACCTTTATTCAGGGGAGAAGCGTTGGTACACCACCAACAACATCCGCCTAAGCCCTGGTGAGATACATGGACAAGGTGATACCTGTTGGGTGTTGATAATGGGGCAGGAAGCAATGGAGTGCATTGACAGAGGTGAATTAACAAAAAGGGAGTGAGTAGTCAAAGACTGTAAACTGATAAGATATGATTTCTTCACAGAACCATGCGAATTTATTACAGACGGATGCTGCTGTGGATGATATATCAGTTGGCAGCTGCTGTACCTAATCTCACTAAAAAGGCCACTGCGGTCATTAATTTGATGACACACCCTATTGTTATATTATTCATATTGATGATGGTCATTTTCGTTGTAGCTTTAATTATCTAGTATAGGTCACATACTCTTATTATACGTTCTCGCATGGATATTGTTGATTTGCAATTGTAACATGCGCTGTCAATTCGTAAAGCACTGGATTATACAAGATGAGCTGAAGGGCTAAAATTGTTGATGATATTCAAAAGCTGCATGACCCTGAATGAGATTTGTGAACATTCCAGTACATGCCACTGACGACACAAAAAAAAGACTTGTTTTCTGCACTAGCAAGCAGTTTTGTCTTCTGTACCTACTTTCTCTGTGCTGGCTGTTTGTTACAGTGCAAAAGAGAGAGAAAGTTTCATTCAGAGTTGAACTTCACCTCAGACCAGGATTGCAAACGGTGCCAGGAGCAAACCAAAGCCTCCAGACGAGCCATCGATCAAGGGGTTCCCAATAGGCAGAAAGGTGTGAGACTTATTGTTTTTTTTCCTTTCTTTTCCCCTTATTTTCTCTTATTATTATCATTTATTATTATTACTGAATAAACACCCACATCTAAGCAAATTGCTGTTGTCAAGTCTTCTCTTAACTCCATTTAACCAAATGCAAACGAACCGCTTGGATCCACCCTGTGATCCAAGACACTTGGTAACACCAAGATTGCAAATTGTAGCTGAGAACATGTACTCATCTATTTGCTTGAATGTGAAAACATCCCAAGACATTTCCCAAGGAAGGAAAACGGAGAGCAGGAAGGCTCAGATTAGGAGAGGAAAGGAGTTGGACTCAGAAGATGTTCTTAAATGGATAGAGGTGGAGAGGTTTAGGACCAGAAATCCAGAGATTTGAATCAGGGGCTGAAAACTCTGGCACTAATGGTGAAACAAAGGGTAAAAGAGATGCCTGAAGGATCAGTATCACAAATTTGTAGCATCTAAAGGTGGAGGCTTTGTCCCACATTGAGGAGAATGAGACTATGGAGGATTTAAAGCAAAGAAAGTAAGAATAACAAAATTGGCTTAACCCTGCCATGGAAATTGGCTTTGGGTGTTGGATTATTTCAACTTTGCGTCTGAGCTAGATATGGGTTAAAGGTGGATAAGTGAGCTTTGGTACAGAATACCCACAACCAAAATTAATGATGGGTTATGGAGGACAACTTGACCTTGTTTCAGACTCTTGCAAGAATCCATTTCCTAGTAGGCCCTGTGCTCTTGCACATGTGCAAAAGGTCAACAAAACAGACTTTTCTTTCTAAACTGCTTCTTTTGTTTTACATGGCTAAAGGACCGAACCATCCAAGTCATCAGGACTGCTCCCTGCAGGGCAGTGAGGCATGGGAAAGGAGACCTATAGGACAGGGACTGATACAATGAACAGAACACAGGAATTATGATGGCTACTTAATTATATATCTATATGCTTCCACTTAATTATATTTCTACCTTCGTGTTAAACAGGACTTTTTGAGTTACATTCTGGTGACATCTGTAGGACTCGGCTCTTCAGTGTATGTCATCAATAAGGGAATCCAAAACTAGGAGCCATGAGTATAAGATCCTGACTAATAAATCCAACAAGAAATTGAAAAGAAACTTCATCGCCTGGAAAATGGTTAAAACATGCAACTCTGCACATCATACAGTATTTGAAGTGAAAAACATAAATGTACTTAAAGAAAAGCTAAACATCCAAAGGAGAAAGTAATATATTTCTGAGGTGAGATGAAGTAGAGTGGGAGGAGGCTTGAGTGGAACATTAATACCAGAATAAAGAAAGTGTGCCAAATGACCTATTTCTGTAATGTAAATTCTATGTAATTCTTAAAAAGACTTTGGACAAAAATGGGGATAAATGCAATGCAAGACAACAAGGTGCAGGGCTGGATGAACACAGCAGGCCAAGCAGCATCATAGGAGCAGAGAGGCTGACGTTTCGGGCCTAGACCCTTGTCTAATTTCTTACAAAACTGCTGAACATCATAATGTCTTGTACGTTCTCACAAAACTGCCTGCATTCACACACAACTACAATTTACCTGTTTCTCGGTAGCCCCAGAGTTCAATGTTTACAGAGGTTGCTGGGATCAATGATGCGTTCCAAGCCAGAGTCAGCTCCCCTGAAACGTTGGGTGTGCCATAATACTGCCATTTGGTGGCATTCACCAAGACACTTTTCTTCAGGAATGAAAATTTGCTGTGATGTACTGTGGGATTAAAAAAAAACAAATGAAAGATGATGAAATAAATCACATGAAATGGTTATTAGTAAGATTAATTCTGAATTCCTGAGCTCACAGTGACGGAGAATGGCAAAAGAGCCATATACACCAGAAGCATGTGACATTTTGACAAACCTACCATACCATAGCTCTGATTTCCCAGCCCATACTTCCCAAAGATATAGCCCCTTAATCATAAAGGAATCACTGTAAGGGGAGCTTTCCGGATAATCCATGTAACTTTGGCGGGAGATCTACAAAATCCTCAAAAATAAACATGGTACTCGCACGCTTTCTCAAGTTCTGACAGATGACCAAAGAGATATGCCGCAGAGGTTCAACCCTTCAATGCCTTTTTTTATAAAGTCATAGAGTTGGACAGCATGGAAACAGACCGTTCAGTCCAATTTGTCCATGCCAACCAGATATCTGAAATTAATCTAGTCCCATTTAGCCCAGGTCCCTCTGAGCCCTTCCAATTCATGCGCCCATCTAGATGACTTTTAATTGCTGTAATTGTATGTGGGAGCAGGTTATTTGGTCCATCATGTCCACACTGACCCTTCAAACAGCAACCCACCCAGACCCAACGCCCCTACTTTATCCCTGTAACCCTGCTAACCCACCTAGCCTGTACATCCCTGAACACTATGGGTAATTTAGCATGGCCAATCCAGGTACCCTGCACATCTTTGACTATGGGAGGAAGCTGGAGCACCTGGCAGAAACCCACACAGACACAGGGAGAATGTGCAAACTGCACACAGACAGTCGCCCAAGGGTCAAATCGAACCCAGGCCCCTGGTGCTGTGAGAAACTGTAACATTGGAGGAACAGGTCATAACTCCTGACTGCATTCTCATATAGACTTCTACAGCATATTGTTTACCTCACATGCCAGACTCTTCAAGTACCTCCAGCACTGTACCAAAATTTTTACTATGTATGCGGACAGTTGTCTTTGAAAAAGGATCAACTTTTGTTTGTCTCCCAAAAAAAACAATCTTTCTTTTAATAAGTAATTCATTAACATTCATCTGAAGCTTTGCACACAATTGTGAACCAATCTTAAGAAATGTGTTTCAAAGAGGTGAAGCTACAAAAGGCAGAGCAGGTTGGTAAGTTTTGGAAATAATGAAATCCACACTATTTGGTTAAGCTCACATAACTAAAACACTCACATTTATGAAAAGAACACTGCTGCACAGAGGTTAATCATTGAATCCTTGGAGTGTGCAAGCAGGCCATTCAGCCCACACTGACCCTCCAAAGAGCATCCCAGATACCTTATAACTATAACCCTGCATTTCCTATGGCTTACCCACCTGCTGTGCACTAGGGGCAGTTTATCATGGCCAATCCACCTAATCTGCACACCTTTGGACTGTGGGAAGAATGCACAAACTCCACACAGATAGTCATCACCTGAGGCTGGAATTGAACCCAGGTCCCTAGGGCTGATGAAACAGCAGCACTAACTACTGAACCACCATTTGGCTTTTAAAACCTAAAGCTCCTTTTCGTTCAAGTATACCTGAGGGTGTTGAGTTGGAGCACACCAAGGTTATTCAAAGATACCCAGCAACTGGAAGATGTCTGCATTCCTGGAAGATCTCAGAGCCCTGTTGTCCTGCTTGGTAGCTTACAATATGACAGGAGATGTCTCTGCCCCTGGCCTCACATACAGTTGATTTACTAGCATTGCTCATATTACCCTCTGCCATTAGAAATAACACATTTTATCATCACTGCATTTGACAGATAGATCAATTGATATTCATACATAATCAGTGATATTAAATAATCAAATGTTCTATGTGATAAAATCTCATCCTGATAAAGTCTAAAATAAGAGATAGCAGGAACTGCAGATGCTGGAGAATCCGAGACAACAAGGTGCAGGGCTGGATGAACACAGCAGGCCAAGCAGCATCATAGGAGCAGAGAGGCTGACGTTTCGGGCCTAGACCCTTCATCAGAAAAAGGGGAGGGGAAGGGGGTTTTGAAATAAATAGGGAGAGAGTGGGAGGC